CTCGAGATCGAAAATAGTTTAGCGCGTTTTTTGGCGTCCGTAGAATCTATAGATCGTGTGATGTCTGTGCGTAAACCGCACGCGATCTGACAGAGCAGCTTGGACTTTGATCTAAAATCCACTTGTCACATCGTGAACTCCTTGCACCGGGTAAAGATCCCTAGCTTGGGGAGTGGGGGGCAATTGATGAAAGGGAGTTTGGCCTGACCTCATAATCAGGAGACACGTGGACGTGACTCAACATAAATGAAAACTCGACATAATCAGCTCGGCACGTGGATGTAAACTCAACATAGGAGACAACTCAGTATAAATCAGCTCGCTACAAAGTGACCTTGAGTACGTTGGTACCCCGAACTAAAGTTACTTCGGGCTAAGATCGTCCCAATTCGCGACTAGGACAACAGTGCCGAGTCCACTTCAAGTCGAGCTCAGACAGATGAGCCACCTCAGGACAGGCCTACCTCGGTGCAAGAACACCTCGGTACTAAGGCACTTCGGCATTAGCGCGAGCTCAAGTAGCTCGCTAATAGGTAGCTCGCCGCCAAGCACCCCAGCACTTCACAAGCAGCCCACTACCTAGTCTGGTCGACCTCCGCATGGCAACCTTGAGGAACACACCTCCGTACTCTGCAATCCACGGGACCGTACTTTGTAACAGCTACATTAGTTCACCCACTCCCCGATTTAGACGAGGATGGCCGACCTCACAGCGAGAGACGTTACTCCCACCTAACACGGTAACGGGACCTGACACGGTGGAAATTCAGGACCTACTCCACCAAACCCGTCAGGACCCCAGTATATAAAGATCTCACCCCCAGGGGCAAAGGTAATGCGTAATCTTGCTCTCTAGCTCTCTAATTCTCTGACATCATCTTCAAGCTCTCTACTAAAGTGCTAACTTAGCCATCGGAGTGTCCCCGCTGGGTAAGCCACCCCGGGATCTCTGACTCATTTGTTTCAAGAACCTCAGCTCTCGTCGTTGTTGGCAGCCAGATCATATCCAGTAGGGAGCAACCAGATTACGCCACATCACTTGCTACTACACTTTGTTTCTTGCTTTTCCAAGTCACTAGATTTCCCCCCACAAATGTGCAATACCCACTTGTGGACTTTTTGTCATCCACAACACCTGCCCAATTAGCATCTGTAAAGACTTCCATCTTTAGGTGATTATGTTTACTGAATAGTAGACATGTTCCAAGATACTTTTTCAAGTATCTAAGAATTCTCTCTACTGCCTCCATGTGTGGTTTCTTAGGAGAGTGCATGAATTGGCTTAGAACCCGAAATGAATAGGCAATGTCTGGACGGATCATGGACAAATAAATTAGCTTTTCCACTAACCTTTGAAACTGTTTCACATCTTTTAGAGGTTCACCATCACAGTCACCCAACTTGTGGTCAACATCCATGGGAATATCTACTGGCCTTGCACCTAATTTGCCTGTGTCCTGTAATAGATCAAGGGTGTATTTTTCTTTGAAAAATGAAGATACCATTTTTCTGAGTAGGTGACTTCAATTCCAAGGAAATACCTCAGAGGACCTAAATCTTTCACTTCAAATTTAGATGCATGGAATTGTTTCAATTTTTGTATTTCTAAATTCCAACTTCCTGTAATGATGATATCATCCACATACACTATCAATACAACAATCTGTTCCTGACATCTCTTCACAAAGAGTGTATGATCAGACTGACATTGTTTGAAGCCCATCTGCTGAACTGCCATGTGAAACCTACTGAACCAAGCTCTGGGAGATTGTTTTAAACCATAAAGAGACTTTCTTAGCTTGCACACTTTATTTTCACTTCCCTTGGCACAGAATCCAGGGGGTTAAACCATGTATACTTCCTCCTCTAAGTCACCATTCAAAAAAACATTCTTTATGTCTAGTTTATGCATTTCCCAGTCAAGATTAGCAGCTAATGACAGGAGAACCCTAATTGAGTTCATCTTAGCTAGTAGAGCAAAAGTCTCATCATAATCAACCCCGTACACTTTGGCTACTAATCTTGCTTTGTACCTTTCAATTGTTCCGTTTGCCTTATGTTTAACTGTAAACACCCATTTACAGCCCACGGGGTCTTTCCCCTTTGGAAGATCCACCAATTCCCAAGTTTGATTTTTATGAAGAGCATTAATCTCCTCCTTCATGACATTTGTCCATTCAAGGCATTTTAATGCTTCTGCAACATTTTTGGGAACAATGATGCAATCGACTGCGGATAGAAATGCTCGATATGAGGGGGAAATGTGATCATAGGAGACAAACCGGGTAATGGAGTGTTTGATAGTGCATGACCTGGTTCCATTTCTTTGAGCAATAGGAATGTCAAGGTCATCCACAGTAGTAGGGATATCAATAGGTGCAACAGGGATTAGACTTACCTCCTAAGAGTCTAACGGTGTCGATTGCTCAATGTTTGGTTGCTCCACATCTCTATCACATTGCTGATCTCTATGACGTGTACGTTGGAAGACACGAAAGGGAGCAAGGTCCAGAATAGAAGAAGAGAGACTTGGCGGACCTGAACCTGCTTCTCCTCTTCCACACTAGGTCCTGAAAAACATGAACTAGGAAAAAATGTTACACTACAGTTTAAAAAGCTTGTGATACTATTAATTGAAAGCAAATTTATAGGAAGTTGAGGGACATGCAATACACAATTCAAGTTAAGGCCATGGGGAAGAGATATTGATCATTGGCCTGTAATGGAGGAGAATGAGCCATCTACAAGCCTCACTTTATCCTTTCCTGACAAAAGGCTATAAGTCTAAAACAACTTCGGCTTACTGGTCATGTGGTTAGAGTCCCCTGAGTCAATGATCCAAGGAGAACCAGTGAGAGTGACATGGAATGCAGAAACTGTATTACCTGATGTAGATGCAAATGAAATAGAAGGAATACTAGTGACTGAGCTATCCATCTGTCGCAAAGCCCTACTATAAGACTCCAAGTGGTCTCTGAAGGAATTCATTATATCTTCCTTGGGGTCATAATTATTAAGGTGGTCCCGAATAGTACCGGCAACCCGAGTATATTGGGTTGCCACATGTGTTGCATTATGGTGTTTATCTTCTTCTGACCTTTCCCTTTACCTTGTTCTTAGTTATTCACTACCCACTTGGGTTTCCCGTGAATGTCCTAACATGTGTCACGTGTATGCCGTGAGCGCCAACAGTGGGTACAAAACAACTTGTCTTTATCAGCCTTCTTGGTGTCACTTTTCTTCCCCATGTTATTACTCATTGCAGCCAAAGCAACTTGTTACTCCCCCTCGACTGTAACCATCACACTTCGCCTACATTTTTCCGATTGAACAAGGGAGTATACATCGTAAACCAACGACAACTCTTTGCTTCCTAGGATCTGAACTCTCAAAGGTTCATAGGTAGGGTTCAGTCCCAACAAGAAGGCAAACACACGCTGTTGAGAAACCAGCTTCCTGTAGGCCTTAGCATCATTATCATGTTTCCACTATATAGCCTGATAATGATCCAATTCTTTCCATATGGAAGTAAGAGCTAAATAATAGGAAGACAAACTACGATTTCCCTGTTTACAGGTCGAGAATTCAACTTGCAACTAGTAAACCTTAGCATAATGCCTTTGCTTAGAATATGTAGTTTTAGCATGTTCCCAAATCTCATTAGCAGTGTCTACCCACATAAAGTTTTTCACATCAGGTTCCATGGTTGCAAGGAGCCAAGACATCATTAAACTATTTTCTTGATCCCACCTATCATGTTCAATTGTCTCACTCTTGAGTTCTTTCACCCTTCCATTTATGTAACCAGCTTTTCCCTTTGTCGTTTAAAGGGGTAATGGGCAAGGGAAACATCATGTTTTCACCTCCCATACCAGTTGTGCTGCGAGTCGGTGTAACCCCCGATGAAGTTGAATCATAATTTGCCATAGAATACTGCTGAAATCAGTCCAAATCCCACACAACCACACAACAACCACAAACAAAATACCAACCTTTAAGAAATTTACTTCTAGGATGTGGGAAAGAAAACAAAAAACTACTGAAATCATCTCTGTGATGGTTCAGTCATTAAACTAGCCTGATAATTAGTCCAACACCAACCAAGACAGACGTTAGAAAAGTATACTATCAGTCCGACTACAACCCATACTGTTATCCAAACGAATGTATAGAACCAAGGAATAAGGCCTTCACACCATTAGCCAAAAACAAAAAAAGAAAAAACACATACCTTGTCCAGCACCTGTACGAAGGTGCCAACCAGAAACTGACTTCACAACATCGAACAGAGAAGAAAGGGAGTCTATCTACATCGCCCTTCTTCGACTAGGGTTTCCTTGATATTACAACAAAGGAAAAACCCAAAAGAAGAGTCACAAATAATCTGCTAGGGTTTCTCTGTCTTCCACGTCCAAGAAATTAAAGGAAAAAGGGGACGCATGTTCAAATAGAAGAGACCAAAATTCTTTTATAGCCCAAAACCTTGCTCTGATACCATGTAATCATTCATGGAGAGAGAGAGAGACGAGAGAGAAAGAAAAGAAGAGGAAGATACGATTGAGAGAAAAAGAAAAACCTATTCTGGCGGCTGCTTAATATAAAAAGAATAAAAATTACAAGTATGCCCCTAACGGCACTCCCTAGAAACAAACTAATAAGAAAGAAAGAAAATAACTAACTGACAACATCTTAAGAGGACAACCTACTAACAACAACTATAAAATAACTATTAAATAATCCTCACAACAAGTACAAATAGATCATTGGGTTGAAGGATAAAAGAACAAAAAAACTAGGAATAACTAACATGATCTTTCAAAATAAAAGGTCCTACACATCGATGTTAAAAGGAATGTTGTTGACTGAATTCTCAGAACTCAGGAGTAACATAACCTTGTATCTCCTTTCCTTACTTGGGCACATTAATTCCATACCCAAATGCTTCTATTCACTATCACCGTTCACCATTACCAAGTAAATAAATTAACAAACTAAAAATGTGAATGGTGATCCACTGAGCACGCTCTCATTGAGCGTGCTCATCAATTCATCATTAATATGTAGGGAATCTTACCACCTTCCTAGCTTCATAACCAGGATATTATTCAAGTAATGTGCAGCATAAATGGGATACCTATGTGGAATCATAACAAGTTCAATTACAAATGACAGTACGTTGTCAAATGGCATTAGTAACCTCAACAGGGGTAATGAATGCTTGGACTGGAAATAACATAGATGGCAAATATCGGATGATCTACATCCAACAAAACACAATAGTACAACCACCTCGATCCCAGTTTCACCATTTGGCAACTCTTGTCAAACCTTGCTAATTTTGCAAAACTTTCCTGCATGAGGCAGAACAAGACCACCTCTCACTACCCAGAAAAGGGCGAGAGGAGGAAAAAGGAGCATCTTTGATCTTTGTGAATATTGGCACGAGCATCTTTGATCTTTGTGAATATTGGCACTACTCATAGGGTTACAGAACATGATTGGACCTGATTCTGAGGGAGTCCCGCTATCTGTGAGCTGCATTTTTTTTCAAAATAGAAAATAATTAATGTATTGAATAAACCACAAAAGCAAAACATATATTGCTAAATACAAGGTTAGAAAGTAATATAACAAGCAAGCACTAAAAACCTATTGGGAGATGTGCGGCTTAACAACTACGGGGCATCGAAGTTAAAGACAATAAAGCACAAGGGCCTAACCGCCTAAGGCACTCTTATCAAGAAGTGGACCTACACCAAGCTGAGGGAGCTGTGCGGCTGAAGTTCTTTTATACATCTATAAGAAAACTTTAAGGATCAAAGAGAATAAATAGTGAAGGCATGATATAAAAACAAAATACAATTACCCTTAAGCGTGGGATGGACACCCAATGTAACCAACTGGCCTCTACCCACTAGCATTAACTGATCTTGGAATGCATTTGAATGATATGTTTACTGTAGAATATCTATAGAACATTGGGATAAGGCAGATATGGCATTTAAATAGAATGGGATGGCAAAACAGGATTCATGTAGCTGCCAACCCCATGTAGTTGGGATAAGGCTATGATGATGATTCTGAGCCCAGCCAAGCTCAGGAATTTGCAGATCAAGTTAGACCCAAGACTTCCAGGCCCATGCCTATGTAAAATCCCTCACCCTAGGTGCTAAGCCCGGCCAAAGATCACCCTTACTATGATCTCTCCAGCCTAGCTTTTAACAGTTCATTCTCCTAACCTGGGTTCCTAATACAGCAGCCACTCAAATTGTGTTTAGATGCTCCAAGGGAAGAGGGAGATCAGCTCCATATATGGTATGCCTGAACGTTGAACATCTGGCCTTGATGCATTCCAACTTATGACCACATCATTAATCCAAAAGATGGGAGATCAGCTCCATAAATGTTTCTCAGATTACTACTTCTTTATGAGCTTGACTGCACTTTAGGCAGTTGAGTTTCTTATATTTGTCAATCAGACATTTTGTAGAGGGTAATATGGAGGCAAATGGAGGAGGCTATCAAGAAATAAGGATACTGGAATCATTAAATAGGGAGCTGCATAAAACCATCAAAATTATTAGCATAGTAGACTTCACAGGACCTTCACTGGGAAGAGTGGAAAACACTGTAGATAACATAGATAATTAAAGCAGAAGCAATAGAAATATGAGACTTGAGGTGCAAAGCGAGGAAAACTGCTTAACTATCTACAGATTGAAAGAGAAGTAGAGAACATAAGAGAATTTCTAAAATGCAATCTGAACTGGATATTTTAACTTGGCTGATTAGAGAGAACTGTACTAGCAACCCAACCATGTTATCCAAAAAAATATATATTAACAGAATATCAGAATTAGGCATCAGATTGAACATAACAACAGAAGCAATTCTTATTGTAATCAATTATCAATACAATTAAAAATGAGCAGCATAAGATAACAATGGATTTATAATGTAGGCATATTGTGACAATCCCATCACTGGGTGTCTTGCTCTGATACCACTTACCATGACCCAACCACGTCTTTGGCCAACTCATGCAGTTCCAACCCCCTATTTGCTTATATTTTATAAAATATTTCTTACCATGACCCAACCATGTCTGTGACAATCCCCGCAGTTATATCTTATTCATTCATCTTAATAAAATATATTTTCTCAGAAGGCAATTAAAATTATAAAACCATTATTTTTGTGTGAAAATTAAGAATTTAAGACCCTAACATGGACTTGTTTCGGCTTGCCTCGAGAGGTGTGGTCTGCGTCCTGGGGCAGAGCCCCCAGCCCAGCCACTATGTTCGAAAAAAGCAAAAAAGTGTGAAAAGGTGCATGTATGGGCTAAGACGCAAGGCGCACCAGGCATGCACCTTTTGAAAGTACTGCACCTAGGACCTGGGCGAGGTGCCTACCCTAAAATGTGCCTTGCTTGTGTGCCTAGGCGTGCCTCAGGTGCGCCTTTTAAATCACTGGCCTCTATTCACTATGTTGAACAGGCTTGAGCTCTAATGTCTCCAGGATGGCTTATGCTTTCTTTCACCTTTATTTGAGACTCTAGTAGAGTGGAGTATGGTTGCATGCATTGAAAGGTTACCTAGGTAATAATGCAGGAGCTGAAGAATCAAATTTGGAATTTTCTTAAAATTTCTGTAATTTTGTATATTTGGATAGTATGGGTATTTTCGTCATTTTGACCAGCCCAATGTGGACTTGGGCTATAGCATCTTGTTCCTATATCTTAGTAGTGCTTGTCTTTCAATTTTCAGTTTATTTGCATTAGTAGATAGAAAGTTATTGTGTTTCTTTTTTTTATCAGTAACAAATTCATTAATTCAAAATATGAATAATTACAAAGAGGAAGACAAACTTTCTTATCTTCCAAATACAATTTGAGCCCCCAAGAAAAGAAAAAGAAAAATGATAAACAATAAATTTACATCTAAGCCCAAAAGAATTAGCTAATCTTTTCACCCAACTAATCTTAACTTCCATCTCTCGCACCAGCCATTTAAATTTCCTCCTCACATTGCTATAATTCCATAAGCCACTGTTATCTTTTTTCAGCCACCCTACCACCACCTCCAAGTCTCCTTCAATCATGAGTTTTCTAATATTCATCTCCCTAGCTCTCTGGACTCCTTCCATAACTGCATGGATCTCAGCTCTAAGGGAGTCACCCACACCAATTGGGCCTGAGAACAAAGCAGAAACAACCCCATTCTCATCCCTAAAGACACCCCCAATCCTTGAGTGTCCAGGGTTCCCCCTACTACTCCCATCAAAGTTTAGTTTTAAGAAACACCATTGTACAACCCTTATATGGATTAGAGCCCTCAGTTCTTCAGCACCTATCTCAACTTCTAAGAAAATCCTGGAGTTTCTTTCTTCCCATAATGACTAGCATACTGCAGCGCTCAAACCTCTCCACATAGTCCTTCCCCTTTTCTTACGCCACCTAAGAAAAGAAGGGGTGAAGAAACTTTGCAAGTTTGATGCAAGGTTCCAACTACACCCAAAGAGGGTGAAAGCCCACTCCCAAATTGACTTGGCAAATTGGCAAGACACCAATAGGTGAAAACCAATCTCCCCATCAGCTTGGCAAAGAACACACTAGTAGGTGACAAACAAGTATTGGGTCTCTTCTTTTGGAGTAGATCACCAGTGTTGAATCTTTCTAGATATGCTTCCAAACAAAAATTACCAACCCTAGGAGGAATTGATCTGCACCAAATCTCATTAACAGAGAAAGGGAGGGCTATAGGACTAGTGAACTGGCATAAGACTTTGAAGAAAAAAGCACAAGAGAATGAACCAGTGGGTGTGGGGGTCCAAATTCTAGAGTCCACCTTAGTAGGGTCTAAGAAAATATTATCAAGAAGTTCAAGGGGGCTCGAAATACTGTCGAGGTCAAAGTCCCTCATAGCCCTTCTTAGGCCCAAGTTCCACCCAAACCCAGAACTAGAAGAGGAAGGGGTAATGAAAGAAGAAACTGGCTCATTTTTAAAACCATATAGGGCATACAAAGAAAGAAACTAGTCCTTCAGGGGGGCATTCCCTACCCATGTTTGTTCCCAGAATTTTATGGAGTTACCTAAATTCAAATCATACCTGATAAGAGGGGAGAAAACTGGCAACAAATCATGAATGGCTTTCCAAGGTGAAGCGCTTGTAGTCTTGGCTTGGATTCCAACATCCCATCCATTTTGCTCCAACCCATGTATGCTTGCCACTATTCTAGCCCACAGTTTCTCCTGCTCCAATGGGAACCTCCACAACCATTTCCCTAGATGGGCCATATTCCTTTTCCTAATATTCCTAATCCCCAAACCACCACAGTTTTTACTCTTGGTCACCACCTCCCAGCCCACCCTATGTTCCCTTTTCTCCTCTCCCAGCTCCCAAAGGAAGTCTCTCATCATCTTCTCCAATCTACTAGAAACCTTTACTAGTATTTTGAACACTAACAAGAAATAAATTGATAAGTTTGCTAGAGTGGCCTTAATCAATGTAATCCTCCTGCCAAGAGAAAGGTAATTCTTTTTCCAAGAGACAAGTCTCTTTTCAAATCTTTCCACCATCAGATTTCAGAAGCTCTCTCTCTTGGGGTTATCACCTAATGGCAACCCTAGATAATTCAATGGCCAACCTGAGACTTCACACCCAAGCACTTCTGCACTCTCCCTAATTCTCTATCCTCCAAATTCACACCCACTACACAACTTTTCCCAAAGTTCACCCTCAAATTTGAAATTTGTTCAAAGAGTTGTAACACCAATTTCATGTTTCTGATGAACCTCACATTACCTCCTTCACAGAATAGAATCGTATCATCAACGAACTGTAAGTGGGTGAGGAGGGGTTTCCTCTCTTCCAACTATCCAACCTCTAATTAGGCCCCTGGAGTCTACTCTATGAATCAATTTTTCAAAAACATCAGCAATTAGTGTGAACAAGAAGGGAGAAGGGGGTTTCCTTGTCTTATACCCCTACTAGCAGGAAAGAAATCTACCAATGTCCCATTCACTAGCACCGAGTAATGACAATTCCAAACACACCCCATAATCCATTTGCACCATCTAGCCCCAAACCCAAACTTGGTCATAACTTTCCTCAAAAATTCCTAGTCCACCAAGTCATAAGTTATTTCCATGTCCAACTTACAAACCACTCCCTTCTTTCTATCCTTCCTAAAATTCTCCACACTCTCATTAGCAATTAAGATTTGATCATTAATCTGTCTTCCACTCACAAAAGCTCCTTGATTATGTGCAATGATGTCTGGCAGTACTTCCTTCAATCTCAAAAGACAACACCTTCGTAATAATCTTGTACAAGCTATTTACCAAACTAATTGGCCTAAAGTCCTTTGGATGGGACGCATCTTTCTTTTTTGGAACCAAAGCTAAAAAAGTTGAATCCACACCTGGGTTAATAACTCCTCTCCTATGAAACTCAAACACCAACAAAAAGTCATCTTTTAGAATGTCCCAACAGCCTTGATAAAAAGCCATTGTGAAACCGTCTGGCCCTGGAGCTTTTGTTCTATCCATAGAAAACACAACCTCCTTAATCTCTTCCAAATCAAACCTTCTTTCCATCATTCTCCTATTATTCCCCCCTACGTCAGGCCAATCCAATCCTTCAACCTACACCCCTCTATTTACAGGCCTTCTTAGAATGGATTTGAAGTGTTCTACAAAAGCCCAGGCTATCTCCTCTTGTTGTGTTAACTCAACTCCATCCACTTCCAATTTAGAAATAAAATTCCTCCTTCTCCTTCCATTTACCAAAGAGTGAAAAAACCTGGTATTTCTATCTCCCTCTTGCAACCATTTACATCTAAATTTTTGCCTCCAGCTTATTTTCTCTTTATGTAGGCAATCTTCTAGCTGTTTTCTCAGACCTCTTCTTTGTTCCTTGACTGCCTCTCCCAAATCCCCCCTTCTTTAGAGTCAAGACTCTCAAGTTGGTCCATTAGAACTCTCTTTCTTTCTTGTAACCTTCCAAACTCCAATTGATTCCACTCCTTGATCTTTACTTTCAAATATTGTAGTTTCTTATGAAACCTCATTCCCTCCCATAACACCATTGGATTACACTTGTTCCACCACCCCCTTACTCTTTTGGTAAACCCATGATGGAGTAACAACATATTTTCAAATCTAAAAGGGGCAGGCCCTCCACACCTTCTTTCCTCCTTGCATATCACAATGGGCCAATGATTAGAGGTCA